TCCTAGCATCAGTGTTTACACTTTTCAAGATGTAACGGATAAAATATGTAACAATTGTAAAGAGATAAACAATAAACTAATTTAATATGTAAAATATATATATATGTGTGTGTGTGTGTGTGTGTGTGTGTGTGTGTGTGTTGCGCGCGCATGTGTTTATGAGTATTAAATTAGTGCAAAAGATTAAGTTACAAATTCAAAGTTTAAATTCAAAATTTTTAAATATCCGAAAAAGGACAAAACGTTAAAGTTTATAATATATAATTATTTTAATTAATAAGAGTATTTTTCTTGAAACTGTTATTTCGTTCTAAATTTTATTCGGCGAACACTTTTGCACTAATATAATATTATATATTGTAAAATATATTTTATACTTGGGTATTGCCAACATGTATGTAATATTGTTCTGCATAATGTTCGTATAATGTGTTAATATATCTGCATAAGGTAAAAGAACGCTAAATAATGTAATTACGATAATGACCAATCTTTCTTAACTTCTATTTTCCTAAAACGACATATCGTATAAGAACTTAATGTAATGTGTATATTACATTAATCCATTAACGACCAATATCATTTTTAAGATAAAAATTTTACTGTGAATAAAATAAATTTAGTAACACAAATGACGTTCTCGTATCAATTCTTTTCAATATCTCATTTTCAAATGTACGAAAATGTTTAAGAATATATAATGGTAAATTGTTCAAAATATTGTGGCATAAAAAGTGAGAGCACAATTGTAATGAAATATTATAAATACAGTCTTTCAGTAAATTCTTAATGTAACAGCACTATGGTCTTTAATGGATTTACAAATTGGACACGAATAAAAATGGATGAAAAAGAGGGAATTGTTGAAAATAAATTAAGTAATTTTAAGCGCAACCAACAAATTAATTACAATATACCTAAATTTGAAAAGTTTAATTACTTTTTAATGTACCCCTGGCGGAAAAAAATTTTACGAAAAAGAAAAACTGCCTAGACAGGACTTGAGACAGGATCTTAAAAATTCTTAGTCTTTTATAGTGAAACGTAGAGTGACATTGTTTATTTTGTGTGATATAATAAAAATAGATACAAAAAAAGATTCCGTAAAAGCTCGTAATACAGCGTCAGAAGACGTATACAGAAAGGGTAGAGAATTTCTTGTTCAAACAAACAACAACACCACTCTACGTCTCACTAAAAATATCTTTGAAAAATTAAAGATTTCTAAGATCTTGTGTGTTTCAATCTATGTAGTTTTTCATAAAAATTTTTCAGCCAGGAACATGCACATGTATTCGATATTTTGGTATCTCTTCATTGTTGTGTATTAATTTGAATGTTGACTTTATAAGTATATATGTATGTTTTAATTTTTTATTTGAATAAGACTTTTAATAATTTTTAATTTTTTGTCTAAATTGAAGAAAAGCAGAAATTTTAAAAAATATGTTTTATTTAAAAAGAATTAAAAATATTCTTTTTTATTCTACTATATTTTGTTTTTGATTAAATTAAATGCATTAACTTAATTTAATGTTTAATTTAATCTTTCAACGAAATTTCACGAATATATCTTATGAACTCCATACGAGTAATTTTTCCTTCTAATTCCATTTTGATTCGTCCATTTTTTTCACAAACATTTTGTATCTCATTCATTATCCGTTTAAAGTTTATCATGTAAACAAATTTATACACTGTTGTAGAATATTTGATATGAAGATGTGAATGATACTAGAAATAATCTTAATTTTTTTTCGGATCCAGTCTGATCTGATTTCAACATTCATTCGAAGAAACTCAATTACTGGACATCCTCTTCAGAAGTGTGCAAGAAAACTTATGAGGATAAAAAAAATTTAAATTTTTAATTTAAAAAAGTTTATAATTATAACTATAATTCTTCTGATTTTCTATTATTATAAATATAATACAAAAATTATTTTTTCAATTAAAAATTTATTAAATTTAAAAATTAAAATATTGGCTGAAGTTTCATAACTTTTTTTTATTGTCTCTTATATTGCGTGTATAATTTAAAACTAATCAAATTAATTATAATTTTTATACAGGGTTTTCTAATATTTTTTGCTTTTTCTTGTAACTTATTAAATTATAATGTTCTATGTTTTAGTAACTCAATTAAAGTTTCTATTGAAATCCAATTTAAATTTAAATTGTACGTCAAGTTATTATTTATATACTGATATGTAATATCTAAGTTGAATTGGAAAAAATTCATGTTCTATTAATATCCTCAGAATTAATTAAAAATAATGTTCTCTATTTTAAAATTAAACGAATGCTTACAGTTTACCGTTTTTAATACTTGCTTATGTAATAATGCTTTTATTTTCAATATACTATAAAGCGGATTTTTCATGAATTCTTGAATAGCCTGTGTGTATAGAAATTACATGCGTTTCATTATCACATCGTAAGATCCTTGATGACGTTATAAGGGTAAATGTTCAAAAAAGGGGAGCCACCTCCGATGACCATGACCTTGACATATGTTGTCAAGGTCATGACTCTGAGTGACCTCCACCCAGTTATAGGTGGCGGTCACTGTCCGTTAAAAAGTTCTCAGGGTCATGACCTTGACGACATATGTCAAGATCATCGGAGGTGGCTTCCCTTTTGTGAATATTTATCGAAAAATATTTTATATAAAAAGATTTTGTTTATTATATAATCTAACTTTAAAATAATAGAATAATATAAATTTTTCAATTTAGTTTATTTTTTATAATCATTTTTAAATAAATAAATTTTTTTTATGTTTTCTACATATTTTTATTCTTGTCTTAATATTTCTATTTTTGTGTTAATTAAGAATAATAGGATGATAAAAAAATTATTGCATGTTAACATTTTGAAGCAAACTTCATAACCACTTATTTACATAACATAAAGAAGAAATACATTATACAAAAAAATATTCTAATAAAAATAACGCCTCTTTCTTTTATAACCCTATACCTTTTTTACACTCCTCAATATCGCATTTTAGACGAGGACAAAGATGCCAAGGAAACGAAGGAGCAGGAGACTCAGGAGCAGCAAGTGGTGGATGGTGAATAGAGAATGTATTGGTTGATGGAAATCACATCGCGCCCCGGTTGGAACAGGATGACGATTTTCCCGAATGATATAAGGGGCAACGGATAATGATAAATCAAGATAACACCCTCAACCGCAGGCGCAGTGAGTCCTTAACGTTTAAAACATGAATGTACGATATTAGGGAGAAATTGTTTAATATATATATATATATAGAGAGAGAGAGAGAGGGAGACAGAGAGAGGGAGAGAAGAGAGTGAAACGATACAAAAATATTTACCACGCAGTTAAATAAAACGAAATTAATATGAAAAGATGATTAAGAAAAAAAGAAGTAAAGAGTAGTGCTAGTTACTACCACGCCTATATGATAAAAACGCGCTAATTCGACGTTGTGAATAGGTGTGAGATTATATGCGCACATGTATATGTGTGTGTGTATGTGTGAAAAAATAAAAGTTTGAAAGAGAGAGAGAGAGAGAGAGAGAGAGAGAGAGAGAGAAAGAGAGATATATAGAGAGAAAGAGAGCGAGAAAAAGAAGCATGTACATACATATATATGTATGTAATATATAATAGATAAAGCGCATATATATATGAATATGTATATGTATGTATAGGTAATTAATTATATATGACTACACACCGTACTGTACTGTACTGTACTGTAAGCTGTGAGCAAAAAGTGAAAAAAGTAGTAAAACTCTTATTACACGATTGCTATGTTTACACAATTATATATATATATACACGAGTATATATATTATACATATATATATAAAATTATAAATACACACACTTACCTACCATTCTTATTTCGCTACTCCTCCTCTGCGTTCTTTCTCTTGAATGTTGTTTTTAGTTTTATGAAACATAATGACGCAAAAAAAAAAACGTATTAGTCGCAACGACGATGATGAATACCTTGTAGTATAACTATTCTGAATGTGTTTAAGCGAAAAAGAAATCGCGTGATACCGCCTCGTCGTTAATCACGCGGAATCACTCTATATATAAATAATATTATTATTGTATATTTTATGGTTTATTTAACAATAAACTATTAACAATAATAACGTTAACCGATGTTTCGATCTTTTTCTGTATACCAAAATTTGCTTTCTAATATTACTAAATATGTAAGCGAATAAAGATTATGCGATTTATAATAAACTTAAAATACTTGGATGAGAATATGAAATGGAAAGGATCGTTCCAAAAATTAAATTAATCTATTCTCTACTTTGAAACATTCTCTCAATTTTAATACTATTTTAATGTAGCTCATGTGCAAAATAAATCACATGCTTTTATTCGTTTTCTCATTCTATACATATCATATAGTCACATGATTATGGCTGTGTCCGTTTTGACGTTTACAACGCTTTAAGCGTTGTGAACGTCATCCTTGTTGCATCCTTGTTGTTTATTAAATATTAAATAAGAACAATTGATGCTCACAAGCGCTGTAAGCGCCAAAACGAACGCAGCCTATGTGGCAAATGTGTAATATGAAAGTAGCGTAATTCCAATTTACAAAAAAATTTTTGTTTTAAAATGAAAAAGGAGAATTTTAAATAAAGAGTTTGAAATATAGGGTTTATATCTCAAATTTTGAAAAAATCTTTTATTCTCTGTTTTGCTGTTTTCGAAGTTATGATACTAAAGAGTCAACGGAAAATATTTATATTGTATTTAAATACACTTATTATATTTTACAAAATTATATTTAACATAATAGTATAGTTATTATGTTATACTTTTAATACCGAAAAGAAGAAAAATGCACAGATTCGATATAAAATATGTCGTAATATCTATACATTTACATGTATTTATTACTTTAATTCCTCAGTTTTCTCCAGAACCTATTCTAGAATTTATTACTCTCGTAGAGTATATAATTATTTATTACTCTCGCGCGTAGTATATATAATTATTCTCATATATAATTATTTCCATATAAACATATATATTTTTAAACTTTGTAGCATTGATCAAGAGCAAATTCTTATAGAAAATGGAAAATATCTCTCCTGAAGTGGAAACAATTGTAGTGAAATAATTTTCAAGATCTTCAGTATCTCCTATTACAGAAATATATTTTTAAAATCTCACTAGCCAAGAAGAACTTTTCTAATCATGGCACCGCTGACGGGTTCCTTGTTGTCACGTGGCTCGATGCACTTGCTGCTACATAAGTATTGCAACAGTGGTAAGCGATATTTGCCGCAGAAATCGACGAATTTAATGTGCTCCACGCGATTATTAAAGAAAACACCTGCGCAAAAAAGAAAAAATGTTAACCCTGTTACAAGATTTGATCCAAAAGAACGCTTTGTTATTTCGAATTATTCTAAATTTTATTACTGCGCAATTTTAGTCTGAGATTAAAACTTTTCGATATTTGTAACTACATATAATTATATATTACTATAATTATGATTATGATTACTATAATATTAATAATAATAACTATGTGTATAGTTATTACTAATACTATAGTAGTCATAATCATAGTTATAGTAATATATAATAATTGTAGTTACACAAATGCCAAAAAGTTTTTCTCTCACTATCAGTGTAAAAATTTAATGCGTTGCAAAAAATGTATTATAGTCTTTTTCGCGATCTAACTTATCTTCTCGAGAATGCTCGACTGCGATTGGTTCGCTTAAGTTTTTTCATGCAAAATCTAAAAGAGGTATTTACGCTTCATTTACATTTGGTTGCCTCAAGTTTCGTTTCCTTGGAAGCTTTGTTTACGCTTCTCACTCTCCTCTTACATTCGATGTAAATTTGATTATTATTTTGCCAAGACATTGATTTATTACATCTAAATTATAATTATTGCTAATCGAAAAGCACTAACCTTTGCATTTAGGATTGACACAACTGTGGGCACTATTGAGGTACTGTACTAAGTTGTGCGGTATACTTTCATTATCGTAGCGAATATCACTGGACTTGATGATGCGCGCTGCTAGCTCCAACAACGATGGTGGATTATGTGTCATATCAGATACGAATCTCACCACCAACGGATTATCTCGTAAAGACAACTGTGAAAAACGAATAAAACTTTTTTTCATAAAACAGCAAACTTAAATTTAGCAAAAATCAGTTACAAAAATTATAAAATTTGCTACGCAAAGATTGCATAGTAAAAACATTTAAATAAGTAGAGGGTGTAAAGAAATAAGATTTGTGAAAATCAATTATATTAAACGAATTAATATTCTTCGTTATAATAAAAATCACTAAACTCGATACCTTGTATGTATGTATGTATGTATGTACATACATACACATACATATATTAGAACATAAAAAGTATAAAATATAGGATGATTAAATTATTCGTAACCCACCTCTGTGAGACATTTTAACGTTATTATCTCAGTAGGCAATGTCCGTAGTCTGTTTTTGTGAAGCGACAGAGTCTTCAAGTTCGTTAAATTGGCTATCGAGCTTGGTAGACTCTCTAGCATGTTGTCACAAAGTACAAGGGCCTGTAGGGTCTTCAGTTGACCAAGGGTGGACGGTACCTCTGTCAATCTGTTGTTTCCCATCGACAAAACTCGCAATCTTTGACAAATCAGAATATTTCTTAACAATGTTTTGGGTAAAGTCGATTAACTATTCAATTTTTTATATATAAAACAATACACGATGTATTATACTCGCAAACAATTATTTAAATTAATAGTATTAAAATATTATTATATAACTCGCATAATTCTTTTACTTACCATTATTTTACATTACTTTACAATTTACTTTACATTACCACATACCAAGATATTTAATTATAACTTTCAAACTATTTCATGCTCTTCATATTTAAGTTTATAATTGCCGATTATTAATTTGCTAATAATCAAATTAACAAATTTTATTTTTATTTAAAACACTATTAAAATTCTTTAAAATGCGCAATTACCTTTGCAACTTCCAGATGTCCTTGGTAATTTCGCTGATACGATTGCCACCCAAATAAAGATATTTTAATCCAGGTAGATCAAAAATCTGATTAGGAAATTCCGTGAGTCTATTACCACTTAGATTGAGTTCTCTTAAATTAACGAGATTTTCAAAATCTTTCGCCAATCCATCATTGGTCAGATTATTATGTTTCGCAATCAAACAGGTCAAAGGACAATCCGTCCAAAAATCTGATAAGCTGGTGAGGCCACAGTTCGAGACATCGAGGAAATTCAGATTGATAAATCTACTGATACTGGCAGGTACAGTTGTGAGAAGATTCTGACTCAACAATAAGGTATCCACTTGTTCTGGACTTTTGGTATTGAGGAATTGCTTATCTAATACTTCGTTGTCCAGTGCCAAATAGGACAGATCCAACGTTCTTAAGGTAGAATCCGAGTCGCTGGAGTCCGATGTGTAATTCTCCATGACTATTCTAGGTTTTAAAATATTTCATACTATTACTTATATTTCATCGTTATATACCACTTTTATTATAATGTACCATTTACATAAGAAAATGTAAACAATATAACATATAAATTATTTAATTATATATAAAACGGAGAGAAAAACTCCATATTATATTATTATAATAATTTATACGTAGAATAATTTATATGTACATTATACATATATAAATACATGTATATAAATTATAACATTAATTTATTTATACATTTATAATATTTAATTAATGTTTTAAATATGTTTTTATTTTATCTATTTTAATATATGACCTTCATAGTGTACGTATAAAATTAATTTATTAATTCAATGTCAATCTTCTTATTGTGCGCGCAATTATTTAAATATTCTTCCAAGGAAAATATAGGAAATTTATATAGTAACAAAATGATATTATACTTTTATATATAAAACCGCATTATCACTATCGTAATCATGCAAGCAATAAGGAACAGCAAAATGTAAATAATGGATATGAAGCTTTCGTCATGTAGATGACGTATGACGATTTGCGTTTAACATAAATTATCACACGACGCGTATCAAGTAAATTATGTAAAAAAAATCGATAATAATTCGAAAAGATTAAAAGCGTGCGATAACCGACTAAGTTACTATCGCCTTGAAATAATTTTTAAACAGTTCATAAAAATAGCATAATTAGAAATAAGTATTTTTCAATATGTATATATTCTTCATTTAACGCCCTTTTTATTATAATAATTACCCACCAATACGCGCACATATAGTATACATATAGTATGTTCATTACACATTCGGCGCATATAAAATTATCAAAAATGATAAGATTCTGAGAAGACCGTCGTGTCGCGCAAATCATGCTAGCTGTTATTAGTCCAAATGATGACTGTTATGAAATAATTCTCGTGTTTCGAAAAAAATAATTAATATATGGAGTGTTACAATAACACTATCGAACTTTTAATAATGAAGAATAGCTCTTTCAATTGAGTTACAATCATTAATATTATAAAAATTATTTATAAACTATACATATATTTATAAACTATACACATATCATTTATAAACTATAGTACATATAATTTGTTATATAGATATATATATAATATATAATCGGGATTTATAATTTATATATTATATTAATTTATTTATATATTATAATAATAAATTTATATAATCGAGATATATATATATAATCGGGATATCCCGATTATGGATACAATAAAGTGTATGCTGCGGTTATTGATCTGGTCTAAATTATATTTTTTGTCTACAGTGTGCTGTATTGGGACAAAGAATTATGTAGACAAAAAATATAATTTAGAGACCAGATCAATAACTGCATAAATATTGAATTAAATTTATACACTGACAATTCTTTAGCTTAAAAAAGATGTTATCCAATATAAAATGAAAATTTTTTTGTTCTATAGTGTATTATTTTAAAACATTTTATAAAGAAATTTTATTTGTTTTTTAACATTATATTACTCTCAATAGAAATTAAGAATAATATAGAAGTAAAATGAATAAAAACGACTTGCGCGGATATTTGAAATTCGCGCGTTGTTACTACGCGATTAATTCCCATGTGACGTCACCCTGTGAACCGTCTGGTTCTGATATCATGAACTGCATGGAGCACAACACTTACTTATTACTTGTTTTAGCTTCACCAAGCTTCACAAAGGAGACAATGCCGTTGGCAACCCCTTCCGTTAGTTAGCACTTCCTGAAAACACAATTCGTATCACAACGCGTTAATCTCAAATGAGCAAATTTTACAAGCAGCGCAAATAGAACGGCGACTAACCAAACACACGGAGATCGGCGACACACGAAACGCGACCGCATGACATCTGCGCTTTATCAGCGCGTGTCTCACTGTATCCATATCTCCTATCATCTCCGCTACCGTTCTAGCCATTCTCCCCGCCAAGTGCTGTTGCAAACCAATCCTAAATATATTGGAAGCTTTCCAACAAGCGAAAGTGCACAGTGATCATCTCATCTTTGTTTAACATTGGTGAACAACTAGGATGTAATGATTCATTGTGTTACACTGTGTCATCTGTGTCTCTTGTTGGAAAGCTCTTGTCATCGTTAAAGACCTATCCAGATGGATTTGCATATTAAAAAGAGCAGGCCACATTATAAATATTCTATTAAGTATAATTTATAAAGAAGTTATGTATCCAAATAAAATCCATTGTTAAAAAGTTTTGTTTATTACGTATATAAAGAATTTATATTCTTTTAAAATAATTTTTAAGATTTTATTTTTATATAAAGTAATAACTTATTTGATTATCTACTTTATATGAAAGCGTAATAAGTCTTTTGAATTTAATATCTAAAATTCTCGCCGTTTTATAAGATTTGTTATAATTTCATTTGTATATAAATAATATAATTAAAAACAGATTTTGACATTTACCATCAATTGATAATCCGAATCTCTTGATATGTCAGCATTCTTCAATTTCTGCTGAGCCTCCAGACATGTCGGTTTTTAATGTTTCCGGTGTTTCCAATAGTTAAGCTGCTATTTTAGAGGTTAGAGGATGTATACTCGTTCTTATTATAAAAATTTTAATGAAAAAAGGAACGAGGAGAAAAAAAGAAACAGTCTTTGAAATTGACTTGTATATTTACGTATGAATTTATTCTTATTATTATATATCTATCATTACATTACTGTGAATCTTTTTCTTATTAATTAAGTTGCATGTAGTAAGATTAATGATAACACCTTAATGAGCTTGTACTGTTGAAATAAATTTTGTTGCCACTGTTTAATAATGTAAGATTATCGAAAAATGTATTATTATTATGCATTAAATTGCATAGTAAAATCATGTTTAAATTAGAATATAATTATCATTATATAAATCATCTTGTAGATGTATTTATTGAATACTAATGTATGTGTGTATATATAATTTATGAGAAATGTTAAATACAATGATTTAATCATTATTAATAATGAATATAACATTTATAATTTATATGTATATCTTAGACTTCTAAAATAATTTTTTCATTATTTTCATTACTTTGTTTTTATATAATAATAATATCTCTATTTTTAAAATATATATTATGACACAAATTTTAATAAAATAGACTAACCAAATTTTAATTCGTACAAATTATGAAATAATTTTAATAATAAATAAATTTAATTTTCAGGTGTAGAATAAATGATGCTGTTTTACAAGCTATATCAACCATTACGGTCTCATTTTTATAAGTTTAACATAAATACATATATTTTATCAAAGCAAAGCTATAGTGCTAAGAAAGTTGTTTATTTAAAAGCTCTAATTACGGAAAATGTTGATATATATGAGGAAATGAAAAAAAATCTACCTACTATAGAATGGAAAAACATACGAGAAAAAATTCTTCAAAAAAATACAGAAATCACACCATATATTGTAGACTCTGTAATCATAGATATGTGTGTCAAATATTTTCATGTGAATAACGCTATTGCATATTTCAAATTCTTAAGGGAAAATAATTATTCCTTGAATGCAGGAGTGATTGGAAAATATCTTAAACTCTACGTTTTGAAACAAAACTTGACCGATGCAGATAAAATAGAAATTGTAGAAACATACAATGATTTGAGGCAGAAGTATCAGTATTTGGATTACGTTACAGCTGAAGAATGTATAACTAGCTTATGTTTGACAGATGAATGGGAGAAAACACAAGATATAATAGAAATGGTGAAGATTACCTCTTCTCCAGGCGTTGTTATATGTTCTGCATTAGCTAGTGCAGCATTTATAAATGGAAAACCCGACATTGCATGGAAAACACTGTCAGATATAGTGTTGCGCAAATTGATTCCACAAAAAAATGTATACTTATCACATCTACAATATTGCCAGCTGGAAGATGCAAAATTTTTCAACAATAGAATGGAAGAGATGTTTGATTTCTGGATTAAACACAGTATAATACCATTTGATCAAATTATAAGAGCTTATGCTAATACAGCTATCAAATATGGTTGGTCCACAGATCGCCTAATAATTTCCAAAAAAACGTTCGTTTTCTTAATATTTCAGCATGATTTAGTTTAATACACTTAGTAATTTTAAATAACAGTTAAAAAAAGTTAATAATTAATGATAGAATTCTTTAAGTTATTAGTAATTACAATATATTATTATATAAGTACAGTTATATTTTTTAATAACGTTTAAGAATTTACTAAATAAAATTAAGATTTTAAAGCAAATAGATTAGTATTCTATAGAATAAAATTAATATTTTGAGTTTTAATAAATAAAATTTTAATAATATTTATTCTATTTATAGGGGGAATTGTAATCATTGCGGTTATTTTTTGTCCAAAATAAAATTTAGTGAAGACGAATTTCAGGAATTGGCAAAATTTGTGATGGACAGAATAATTATAGGATCGGACATCTATCATAAAACTAATCCAAAAGAATTGTTGAAGTTTAAGAAATTTATTGAAAACACTAAACCTTTTGATGTAGTCATTGACGGACTTAATCTAACTTATATGAATTTTTCCGCACCAAAATTACTAGTGGTAATATATTATTGTTTTTATCAAAATATTTGTATTATTCATTTATCAATATATTGATACATTATATAAATTCATATATGTAGAAATTTCAATTATAAAAAAATAATTTTTTTTTCTATTTTCCTTTTTCTAAATATATTAATTATTAAATATTAACGTATGGTTTATATTACAGCTAATCAATGTAGTAGAGCATTTCAGAAAATGTGGAAAAAAAGTACTTGTATTGACGCGGAAACATCAAAAGAAGCTACTTGAATTTAAACATGTAGAGCGAAATGCATTCGTCTTCTTCATAGATAATTTGTAAGTATTAAATCTACGCAGATATAGGACTTTTTTTTAAATTGATATAATTAATATCATGGGGCATACGATTATTTTATAATTATGTATAAAATAAAAATATATATATGTATATAACAATTATAAAATAGTTATAATATTTTAAATAATATATTAAATAAAATTTTTGTATACAAATACATCAAATTTTAGATCCGCCGATGATCCGTACATACTCTATGCAACTATGGCGTGTGGGATGAATACAATGTTTGTTTCGTCGGATTTAATGCGAGAACATAAGCATTCCTTGCAAGATGAGGACTTGCAACAAAAATTTATGAAATGGCAGTTTTCGCATCAACACTTGATCAAGTTCAGTGCAACTGGTATTCGCATCCAAGACCCTTTTATCTATTTGCCGATTGTACAAAAAAATGATAACTGTTGGCACGTGCCGTGTGTCACTGAGGATCTTAATAAGGAGATTTTAAAGGAGGTTTATGAATTCTCAGATAAGTGGTATTGTTTGAAGTATAATGAAAAGAAGATGTATTAAAATATAAATTTCTTTATTGGATGTATATATTTATGTGATGAAAATCGTCAAATGCGATTTAAAGATTCTATTAATGTCTTTAATAACACGCAGTACTATGTCTTTTACATAAATTTATAATAAATGTTATAAATTACATTGTGCTTGTGCTCTACCGCATTAGTTCCAAAGACTAATGTATTTAAATTAACTAATGTTCGTAATTACTCATAATAGCCGAGGTAACATCTAAATTAAAAATAAAAATATATATATGTAATATAAAAATATATATATGTATAACGAAACAAAGTTAAATACCAGAGGTAATAGTAAAAAAAATAGTATTTTTATTGATTTGTAATACAGCTGTATATATTTTTTATTTGTAATATATACATATATATATTTTTCATATTTATAATATACATATAGTTATAGTTTTAACATGTCTGGAAAAAATTAATTCGACAAATATCTATGCTTGTAAACGTTGCTTATTACATTCTTTGGCTCTGCTAGCGCTCAGAAAATTATTATGATGAATCACACTGTTATATAATTATTGTTTACCTCATTGAGATAGAAAAAAAAGATAAGCACTTATAAGCACTTATAAGCACTTTTTAGCAAAAGAAAATATGATAAAACAGTACACAATCTCCTTAAAAGCTTTGAACAAAATTGAATTTGAAGAACGCATTATTTTTTTTATCATATATTTCCATCATTATATAACAAATTTAATAATTCTTGTGTAAATACAACAAAAATTGATTTTTTCTTATTACCTATTAGGCCTTTCCTTCTGGAAAGAAAAGGAGGAAAGATGAACTGGTGCAAAAGTTCAGCTAAAAAGAACAGGCCTATTGTTACACGTGTTCATATTGCTCATCTAATTTTGACTGCTTTGAATTGACTGTTTAAGAATAAAATAATTGAAAATAGCACTTAAAAAACGCATAAGCATCCAAAGCAAATATATATATATACACACACAGAGAAACGTATATATGTATATACATACATACATGTAATTATAGTTTATTTTTTGTAACTAAATTTTTTTATACTTTTTCAATCTTATCTCTTTTTCCCCTCTAACGTCCAGCGTTTCAAATTGAATGCAAAAGTAGTATAAGTAATATACAAATACAAAGAACAAATTTGCAAATATAAAGAACGGTCTTTAAAAGGCATGAGAATTGCGAGTAATTGCGTCGAGTAATCGCGTCATGAGAATCAGCCCGTTTGTTCGCGAGCGCAGTCAGCTCTGCGCAGCGGAGGTCGCTGCAGTCGCGATTTTACGCTCCAACAGAATTATCGCGCGATAATTCCGTACTGTAATTTATCGCGTTCCCCAAAGCATCGTTCCGTCCGAATTCTCGAGTGTCGCGTTGCCGCGCGCTTTTCGGCAGCCGATTCGGCGTTCTTGCTCTAAACTCGTCGTAAACTTGCCGGGTATGTAATGCTGCGTGTCGTGGTCTGCGCCCGAGCCTCGCCATCTTTGTCTGTCACCGTCATCGTCGCCGCCGCGAGAACGGTCTCGCAGAACGTGGTCCGGATGCTCGCCGACCGTCGTAGTATTTTCGTCGTGTGAGAACTATCGTGAGTTTCTCCGTTCCAAACCGCGAACGTTCCAAGATCGATTCTGCGTGAAAATACCGCGGTTTCTCCTTCTCGCGCTTCTCCGGCGTATCGGTTTGATCCGCGAAAGAAACGAAGAAGCTGCACTCTCCCCTTCAGCGAGGAACTTTCGCAGGACCTTTCAAGGACATTTCCGGGACGTCCCAAGAATTTCTTCGGGGCATCCTGGTGGCATCCCTTCGCCGGTGGGATGCTACATTGAAGCGAGCGGTGGCAACCTTGTTTGGACCATTCGCAGGAGTAAGTACGAATTGTTGTGTTGGAGTCTAAATTGTATCAAGAGTTTAATCAGCTGGTACAAGACGCTGCTAGATAACAGAAGACGCGATTCAATTTATGTCGACGAGTGATTTGAAATGAACAAATGAAAAGATATTATATAAGAATTGTTTCTGTCTAATTATTAAATAAATAAACAGATATTGTAAGGTATAATTTTTAGGAATAAGAATACGGTTCTGCGTGTTTTCATATGAAAAAAAGTAATTATGCACCAATTGTCGTAAAAAAGGATTTTTTCGTATTAAAGTGTCTTAAAATATAGGAAAATGTAATTATTTTGACGTGATTTATTTTTGTATACTATAATCTGGGGATTTTAACTTTTAGAAAGTATCCTTTCCGATGAATATTTTGCAGTTTCTCCGATACTAATTAGTTCTGATTGATATTATTGATAAAAAAAATATGTCTGTCTTGGCAAACCGCAGGTATATCAGGGAAATTAATCAGCTTAATTTATTTCCGTCGACAGCGGTAATCGCGGAAGCAGAACAGAAGGTTAGCGACCATGACGTTGACGAACATCACTGTTTTCGACTACCTTTTCGAATACTTTAAGCAATGTAAAAGTTGCAGAATGTATGACAAAATTTATTAAATTGAGAAATTAAAAACTAATTGATCCTTGTTTCTCTTTGAAAGATTAATGAAATATGTGTGACAATACATAAATAATGAAAAATGCATGCGCGCCACTAATTCTTGTGGAAAAGTAAACATAAAATAGAAAATCCTTGTAAAGTTTCAAAAAATATTTTATTTTTTTAGATTTATTCATTTTTTTTTAGAAGTTCGATAAAAATACTCCGAAGGTCTTAAAAAATCCGAATGTAAGAATTAAAATATTCAATCGTACATATATATTTGAAGTTTTTTTTGTAATATTAAGTTTAATGTAAAAATACTAATAGCGACAATAATTTAATTTCTATTTCTATATACATCTACTACTACATACATCTATGTCTTCTATTTTTTATCTCAATTACAACATTTAATAATTAATTGTAAGGAAATCGTTAAAATTAATTGATATTAGATTCACAAATTATTAGTGAGACGATATATTAAAACTTTAAAATTATTTATAATAATATATATATAATATAAATTTATTTCTCATTAGATAATATTGAAAATAAATATGAATATTTTTATTGGAAAACATTTAATTTGTTTGATAAAACAAAATTTGAATTGATATTTGTAATTATTAATTACAAAAAATTTATTGACATGCTCATTATTATTATTACTAATTAATAATAAGCATGTCAATAATTTTTTTAAAATTTGTTAAACAATTAAAAGTCAAATAATTTCATTATGTCAGTCAATTCAACTTTTTAAGAAGTGAAATTTTATGAATAAATAATTATCAATGATTATTGACATATTATTTTATTAAATAGAAATGTTTTTATTTATTTATTAGAGTTTGAATAATACTTAGGAAAGCCTTTTTGCCGATTATCGTGAAATTATTTTGCTATACAATTCTAAAATCCTTTCTCGTCCGTTCCGAGTGAAACTTAATAAGACTTTTCCTTTCTCCTCGTTATTATAGTTGTTCTGCTGTTATTTATTATGCACTTTAATTTTTAACTATTACATGTATGGTTCATATACCTATCACTCGATATTTAAGATCAAGCTGTATTTATGAAGTAATTTCGTTCGACGTAGGTAGTAATAGTTCAGTATGTTATTTTAAATTATGATTTTAAATTATGAATTATGTAATTATCAAGAAATACATATGCATACTTGAGATATTATACATAGAATAATATTACATAAAATGTTTTATTTTACTTATATAAAACATATAATTATCATATATTAAATATATATCTCAATATATATTATTTGTATGGAGAATATAAAAAATAATATTGAATATTAATGTTCTTCTTAATAAATAATCATATAACTAATAAAAATATACATGTAAAATATTATAAAATGATTAGACAGATACATTGGATAATTATATTATTATATTAAATAATGATATATATACATATATATATATGTATATATACATCTAGAATAATCTGATATGTTCGGTTATCATTATCATTAGAGTAAGTATGATATGGGTGAATTATAATAATGTTTCAAATTATCCATTTAAAGCTCAAATGCATCCCTATATTATTAAATTTATATTTATGGTTATATAATAATAAATATTGGTTTGATATTACTTAATGTTAATTAACATTTTATAAAACTCATTATTAAAAAATTTGTTCAGAAAGTATTATCTTTATCAAAGCCAGGTTAGATATCTCTATTTTCAAGGAGAAAAAACTGGAAGATCAGCGTCTCTTATCAAATGTTTTTAATCATCAAATGTTTTTGTCAATTGAAAAATGATTTTCTTTACTGTACTATGAAGTACTTCTTCACTGTACTGTTGTACTGTTTATTGCGAAAAATATCATTAGAGTTTTGATGATCGAATTCACATGATCGAAAACATCCAATCTGTTTATTCTATATTTTATTACAGTAGTTTATTAATTTTGTATTTTATTTATTCCTATGTTTAATTATTCATTATATTATTATGCATGTCCGTTGAAATGTTATAAAATATAATGATAATCATTCTGATTCATCAATATATTGAAATTATATGGGAAATTATACAAAAAATATGTGGATAGAATATTAATAAAATAAGTTTTTTATTTTCGGACAATTCGCACTGATGCGATCGATCCCTTATTTAATTACAGATGTTACGATTATCGAAAAAAATTCTAAGGGTTTAAAATTACACATTATTATTGCGCAAATGTTTTCTTACATTTGATAATTTTATAAATTATAGAAATCTGATATGAAATTTCCGTGAGAAAAAAAAGAGCAATATTTTTGCATAGCTCTACGCACACTGCATTACTCGATAATAGTGTATTATCCTGGCTCAGTCTGTCGTCATCTCGTGAGTCATCGAATGCCAGTCACAGCTGTATTCTTTAGTAGTCTGGGATTGCAGAAACAGACTGCGTGGAACTTTCTTACCGCTCCGCAGATCTTGAGGTTTGCTCTCATTCGCTTTGCATTTGCGCGATTAATTTTCAAATAAACTTCACATACCAAGTATTAAAAATTTTTATTAATCACAGGTCATTTATGTCTAAATTTTTATTATCAATTATTGATATTTATTGTATTAACAATTAATACGTATTAATAAATAATGTAAGACAAATTCTTTGATGAAGATAGTCAATTATCATAATCTGTTTTAGTGGATATATATATATATAATCAGATAATATAACAATTAATGATATATTCAAGAACGATGATGTTACTATTATATGACAAAAAATATTTGATTTGACTTGCATTCATTTTTACTAATGTAGATTAAATTCTGTAGAGAGTTAATTTACTCTTTATCTTTTTCTAATGTCCGTTTCTAATATAGGTTAACTTAATTCACTCTTTACCTTTTTTTTAATTCTTAGAACTGGAAAACGATAAAAAAATAAGTTAAGCCAAGATTAAAGTTAATCTACAGTCTACATTGATAGAAACGGATATAATTCTTAGAATTAGAAGAAAATAAAAAGTATAAGTTAAATCGAGATTAAAGTATCTGTGCTAGAAATGAACATTTAAAGTCGGTATTCATAGTTGATTCTTATTTCAAGACCGTCTTAAGTAATGTCTTAAGATGCCAATGCGGCCCTCTGATTGGTTCATGACACCTCAAGGCAGAACTTAAGACGGTCTTAAATATAAGATCTGACTATGAATACCGGCCTAAGATTACATGAATCTTAACCTGCATTCCTACTGCGGTCTTACGGGGATACGATTTGTGCACCCTCTTTACGCAACCCGACTCTATACGGAAGAGCATTGTGGCGCAGGCGTTGTGCATTTTCCATCCCCACTGACGCTCTGCACCCTTTTCGAGGTAGGGATGGGGTTGCTACGGGGGTGGAGGTCTTCAGTGAGAGACTAAACGTGATCCCGCACGGTACGGTCACCGTAGCGATCGAAAGTACACAGTGTACATATACCCTCCTTCCCTTCCCCGTAGACGCAACACGCATATTTATGTATATACGCGACGCATATTTGTACACGATCTATATTTTTGTACCAACGATAATATAATTAGATGACTTTTTTGTATCGTGAAATACGTCCAACTGGCAGAATCATTGTGTATATATACACATATATGGTGCATGAAAAGTGGTAGAACCGGCAGAGTCCACCGTTACCGATGGGTAGGACGGATATGTCAAAAACGCTCAATGCTTATAGAATGTGAGTAGACATGAAAAATCTACAATATCACTTTCCTCTTTTTTTTTTTGAATAATTTTTTCATAATTTCTCTGTGATTACTTGGAGTGATAAAGTGGCTCAGATTCATAATATTACAATTGTGTCGTGAAATGATGAGATGTATTTTTGAAGAGAGAAAAACATTTCTTTTACAAGCCATAATAAAGATTTTTTTTGCCCATACAAGCAATTTTGCCTTGTACAAGCAATTTTTCAAACTCCATACTACCATAATTTATACATCTTCGTTTTAACGATATTATCTACGTTTTACCTTTCTTCATTCAGTAAAGATCCACGTATCTATTTCATATTAAGTGTAAAAAATATAAAAAATATAACAGAAGCAGACAAATTTATTAATAAATAAGGAATTGGCAAAATGGCTGTAGTGATTATGGTTGTATGGAAGATAGCTCCAGCGGCGAATTCAACGGTAAGAGCTGTTGTACGTCTTCAAGATTAGGTTTGACTCTGTCAGGTTCAATGATAAGAATCATTCATATCCGATTGCCATGTAACGGACTTAGAAATTGCACCAATTGTCGTCGGTGCCAAACATCGATCGGCGGTTCGCATGGCGTCGCGACGTTATCGTGCTCATCTGCGATAGTTCAGAGCGCAATACTGATATACGAAATTTCCGAAAACATCTTCGAAAATTCATATCTGTTCTGAAAAGATTCTTATTAATGTTAATGCGTAACATACATGTAACGTACATGCGTAACATACACTGAAAGAAAAACGTCGAAGTATTGTGAAGCAAATGTTACTTACGAAATTTGATTGTGATGACGAAATATACATTTCTGTGAAATATATCTTATTTCTGTGAAATATATTTCATTTCTGTGAAATATATCTCATTAATTGCAAAAAGATAAAATAAATGGCTTATTTGCTAGGAATAAAATTTTATTTCGCCCGTATTTAAATAAATATTTATTTCAGTGAAATAAATGTATTTCTCACAAATATATTTTTAGATATCTTTTTCTCAGTGTACACTGTTTATTTAATTTTTAAATCTTAAAACGTCGATCAATATTATGTAGGTTTTTATTGAAAATATGTTTTGCTTTGGTGTTATATCTGGTGCTTAATTCGATAAAATAATTCAGTTCGCAACAGTTATTTGATGCTAAAATTCATCCGAGCCTAGGTTTTTTTGAAGATTAGAAAGATTAGATAATGTTAACATTAATTTATCAATGTTGTTTTGTCACTAGTTTCTGTCATAAATATGTAAGTAAAAGTTTTGTTATAATTAAAATTTTGTGCCGAATTTATTTTAGATTACATTCCAAGAGATATATGTTGGTTCAATATGTTTGTATATTGCGTTTTCGAAATTGTCATGTATTAAATTGATCAGTATAGCTAGAAAAATTAGCTCGTGTTAAACTATAATTCATCTAATTTATCTCTTGCTATATAAAAAGAATTTAGAATTTTATATTAATATTGATTAATGTCAGTGATTACAGTCCATTACTTTAAATGAAATTTTTCCAATTTGAAAACTTTAAATTTATTTGTGGAAAGAAACGGAAGATACAAAAACATAAAGTAAACACATTTAACATATTAAAAATTATACAACAAAAGAAATAGATCCTACATAGATCCAACTATGATTTTTGAGTGATAAAATTTTCTTTATCTTTTAATTTTGACTATTTTTTCATTTATCTAATATTGGCTCTTATAGGCATTTTTTTGTACTTGATATTTTAATTTTGATAATACTTTTAGAAAATAAAAATTATTTTAATTGATATTGAGCATTATACTATACTCCAGTATTGAATTTCTGACTATCTACGTCTGGTCTATTACGTGTTAACATAAACACGCAATGTAGCTTTGATATTTTTCCTCGTATGAAATAAACTGTTTCGAAGATCGGGAACGATGGCATGTAAAAATAAATTAATTTAAAAGTGGTAAGATAATGGTGTCATTATTATAAACTAGTCTAAAAGTATATTAAATTGAGCAAAACGTTTTTTCTGTGATACTGCATTAATAAAACGAAAGAATAAATTCAATTAATGAGCATTTTATGAGTGCAATAGTCACACATTAATTAATTAGACTCAAGTGATTTTTTTTACTGTTTTTCCGTATTTTTTTAATAAAAAAAAAAACGAAATTTTATATCATTTAGTTCTCGAGTTTTATAAATTTGCATTTTATCTTTATTCCATTTTATATGATCTATAATTTATGTCAGAGTTTAGGATAAAATTCTGTTTATCGTTTTATTTGTATTATGTCATAAACATGTGAAAATTGTAATACGAAAAACAATTAAGGAGTCAAAATATACTTGTATGTATAAATAAGTACTTGTATAATATTCTTGTATGTATAAATACACATATAAAAGTACACACATCAAAATATATACGCGACATATAAAAATATAAATAGAATCTACAGTTTTATTCCGAAAGCTGATGTAAATTATAGATCATCTTAAGTGGACTTTATCTGTACGTACTTATTTTTATATATACTATATAAATTTCAGTATAAAATTTGAAGCTTAAAATTAGATTGGATATATAATTTAGTCTATCTCTCATCCTTTTGTGTTCATATTTATATTCTTATTCATTCTTTCTTTCTATTTTTTCTACATTATAACTGTAGTTATCGATCTTATCATTGTCGCTACTTTTCCTTTTTTATCTACTGATCTTTTTACTTTTATTCTATAACTTCTGATAATTTTCAATGACCCTGAGATGCTTTAAATTCCTATAATATTTGTAGAATATTTGCTTTTTTTAAATAATGTTTTAATAATTCGTTAATTTTCCTTTAATTAAAATTTTATCCAGACTTGCTATAAAAGGTATAACTTTAAAAAAAAATGAAAATACGTATTTTTGTATTTTTTTACTTGTCCTTATTAGCTATTTAATTACAATTGCTGCAAATTAGAAATAATTGTATATTGACATAAATCAATCTTGTCGATATGCGATTTTTTATTTACAATATTAAAATAAGATTAACGTGTTATGAATATATTATAAGCGTGTAAGTGTAAAATATGGAACCGTAGCAAAAAGCAGTTCAGAACGTATAGTATAGTAGCTATAAAGAAAACGATTATGTACAGGTAAATAATTTTATTTACTGTTCCGACTTTTCACTTCTTACTAGCCTATCCTACAAAACTTGTTATAGAATATTTTTTAAGATTGTTCTATGGTTTCGATTTATGATCGTTAATTTCTTCTTTATACGTGTTTCAATTTATGGTTTATACATCAGTTGGGCGATTAATCCAGAGATATAAATTCAAGGCAGATTACTTATATTAGTCTCCATCTTTTATTGTCACTATTTCGAATGGTTAAGATCGTACTGATCGCAACTGGTTGAATAGCGGAAGTGTCAGGATCAGACAAATGATCTTGTTGTGAGGTCACCAGACCTGTTTTACTGACCTTGGATTGTTGGGGGAGGTCAAGATTTATGAGTGCGTGAAAATTTAACTTTGTCTGAGCTCTGAGAACAGTAGTTAAGGTACGATTGTCACGTATCATTCAAATTGATGTATCTGTTTAATTGGAATGCTTTTTAATTATCGTTCCATAATAAATATATTTAAGATAGTTTTCCAAACGGACGGATAGTTCAACAAATCGGCAATAAATGCAAAATAATAAATTGATTGAAGCTATAAAGATATTGTACGATTGAAAAGACTATTTAATTAGTTATTTTATAGTTTTACATCAAAATATCAAATTCGAAAGCATTGTCTAATAATAATACACATCTTATACGATACGTGCAATATCGATTACAATAAAGTGTTTCACAATTGATCTTCAAGAAAAGGTGGTCTCTCTTGGCCGGTATCGATTATGCAGCAGCGACGCGATCGTTCCTCTTCACCATCGAATTTCTAGTCGCGCTACGGTTCTACAGACTGATTCATAAAAAATACCGTAGTAAGAGAACTCAATTGTTTTATATAATTGAAGAGAAATTGTAAACAGAAAATTTTACGTGAAATCTTGATATAATTGAAGTAATATTTTTAGATTGATTATTTGATATTTCAATTATTACATTGAAAAATTTAGGCGAAATCTCTTGATATTGTAAAGCGATTCATAAATCCGTGACTATCGGAATTCGAATTTTGAGGAGATCTAAAATTATAAGTTTTGGATGATCGACGAGAGATTTTTAATAATTGCAAAGCTATGAAATATGTTTAAATTGTTCCTTATATTTAGTTTCTGTCTCTCTAGTGTTATTTATATAAAATTTTAAACATTCTTTTATCTAAGTTTTCTATATATTGATATATCTATTGATTAGAAGTGCACTCTATTGATATTTTAAAACTTATTTTCTACATTTTTAACGTTTATTGAATTATATTTATTGAACGTTTATTGTAACATTATTATTGTGCATATCCACATAAGACATTGCATTTTTGTTACATTAATATTTTGTACGTCAAAGAGTTAAGCGTTCCTTCAGTATTACAAAGTGATCTGTCATTAGCTTATATCTTTGCAACATTTATAAGATTTTTATCATAGCCTTTCTACATTTTTATAAATTTATTTTTCTCTTATCTTTTTTTCAATGTTATATACATTTTTCAATAATGTTATATAGATACATTTTAATATAGAACAAGGTATAGGAGAAGCAAAAAGAAAGAAACGTGCCATTGTCTGTAATTTCACTAATGGAATTTGTCGTGTTGGCCTTTACTGTTATTATATATATTTATATTGTTTTTTTTTTTAATATTTAATTATTCACTTATATACAATATATTTGTTTAAGTTTATCCAAATGTCGAAAGCTAAATAGTTAGAAACGACAAATGAGAAAAAATACAATTAGAGAATAATCTATAATCGCAGTTATTTCTTTTTTATAATTTTTGTAGTTAAATAATATTTTATTCTATGCTATTCTAATTTATCCTATTATATTCTATTCTGTCCTACATTCGCGATTCTCTATATATATTTTTGTTTAAATTAAAAATTTTGTTTGTTTTGAAATATTAGTTTTAATAAGAATCTCGTGTTTTGCTATTTGATGGAATAGATATAAATGTTTTATTGTGCACAGTGTTATAAATAAATAAAATGTATCATATGACGTTTGAAATCTGTCTTGCGGAACTCTGAATTTTTAAAACTTTTTAATTTAAAATATTGGTTTTAATTTTTGGTTATATATTATTATGGTTTTAATTTTTGGTTATAATTTTGTTATATATTTATTATTATATTTTGTATTTTCTTTTATAATATAATAATATTCTGATTACTTTACGATTATATAATATAATTCTATAACAAATTCTATACCTAATGAAATTTGGAAAAATAAAATCTTTGTTTAATGACATGTAAGATAGGGTAATATATGTATATTGAGTTACGTCTCTGAATGAATCGCTCTGTATATGTATCCGATTCTGTCAGAATCGCGAGAGCGCCGCGTACCGCGATGCGCCGGCGTCAAAATATTGAGCCGACAGTACCGCGCGTTAGACCAGCACGTAGACAGCTTCAACGCGGCCCTGAAGACATGGGGTAAGTCCTGTCTCTTCGTCCTCGTCTTTCATTTTGCTCGCGACTTGCCCCGATCGAGTGTCCATCGCGTGCTCGAGTTATCATTATAACGATTCTCCTGCCCTCGGGATTTATGAGACCTCGCACTTTCGGCTTTCCTTCTCTGCGGCGGAAGCACCTTGGCGCTCGTCGGCCATTTTGTAAAAATATATAACAATGGTGTATATGAATATTTGATATTTTATTGTAAGGTACCTAAATGCGTAGGATGAAATATTTTATTGACGTTCTTTTTTAAAAACTAACTACTATTTATTCTTTAAAACACAAAAATTAACTGTTTATATATTTGTATCATATTGACTATTTATATTTTGCAACAGAAAATTTATACATTTTCTGTAGAAAAAGAAAGAAATCTATTTGTTTTGCAAATATAAATTTGCCCCCTTTGTTTCTATTTTCAGTAAAAAAATTGAGAACATAGGCAGAATGACGGCGATGACGCAGGAGGAAATTGTGGCTGGAGCACGGACCGTCGCACAAGGTCTGGAGGCTCTCCGAGTCGAACATGGTGGTCTGCTACAAGGCCTGCAATCTCAGGACGCGCCTGCCGCTCGGGACAAGGCTAGTCTGCTTTCTAAAATCATCGAGATGATCGACCTGGGCCTAGGCGAAGCGCAAGTGATGCAAGCGTTAGCGAGTCATTTGCAGATGGTGGAAGCAGAAAAGCAGAAACTAAGGACGCAGGTGAAGAGGCTGTGCCAGGAGAATGCTTGGCTCAGGGATGAGTTAGCCGGTACACAACAGAAGTTGCAAGCGAGTGAGCAAGCCGTAAGTTATTTCCGACGTTATTAATTCTAATTCGTTAACATAACATGATTTTATTAAGCGAAAATCAACCGATGAGATTAAACACACATAAGTGAAAAATGCCATATTCAGTCAAGGCGGTTCTTCGTGCCTAATAATATTTCTTATGAATTTAATTATGAATTTAATCTTAAAACAGTCCTAAACCAAAGCTGGAGTACTAATATCACAAATTAATTGACAAGCAATTTAATGTTCTTGATACAAATAAGCATCTTAGAAAGCTGTTAATAATTTGATGCTAATATTAATTTAATGCTATACATTAATTTTATATACAGGGTGTTTCTGCATACAGTGCCAAAACTGCTACAGCGGTTTCAGCACATGAAAATAAGTCGAAAATATCTAATAAACATGTATCCGATTCCGAACGATTTCGAAGTTACGGGGTATTGGCACTATAATTTAAGATTTTTCGCAATAAATTATTTACAATTTTCAAAATGCTTATCAACATTAAATTATTAACAGCTTTCTAAGATGCTTATTTGCATCAAGAATTGCTTGTCAATTAATTTATGATATTACTACTCCAGCTTCGGTTTAGGACCGACGAATAATCAGCGCACAGTTTACTTGAATTAGAAATTGTATAAATTCACAAGAAATGTTATTATAGGAACGAAAAATCATCTTGAACACATATGATACTTTCGTTCATATATGATAATAATTTTATGTGAATATATGTACAAATAATTTAAGTTGAGATTTTAAGAATTTTTCATAAATATATGTTTTGCGTTTTAATCTTATTTTTAATATATTAGTAGTGTATTATCTATTAGCATCAAGTATATATAAATGTATTAAAAGCATTAATGCTTTTCACAAAAAAGCTTCAATTTTTTCGAAACTTAATTTGGAATATAATTAAATATATTTTGATGTTTTTTTCTTTAACTTGTAAAAAAATAAATTTTGCAAATTATTTCATACGTTTTACCTACGTCTTAGAATTTCACAGTATTTAAATAAAATTTGTTTATGTAATGAAATACTTTATACAATTTATTCCACTTTTCGAACACGTTTTTTGAAAATTTATGTGGTCGAGAACGTGCGGAGAGTGTTTAAATTTAAATTGAGCATTTATAATTACCGTGTTTGGTGATGACATTCAACGTGTTGATGCCACCGCGGTGTTCAATCACGAGCCGTCACTTATAAGTCAAACAAAAGTGACTCACGATAACAAATCGTTTTAAACAAAGCACATAACAATTAATCCCCTTTTAGGAGAAACAAATCAATAAACACTGGAAACGCGTCGATTTCTTTGCAAAGCTGGATTCTTTCAAGCTTGTATCAGATGAAGACTGAGATTAGATTTAAATTTAACCAATCAGAAGTAAGAAAACTAATATCAAGTTTAATGAATTTTTTGATTAGTCAAATTCCAATTCAATCTTAATCTTATCTGTAGTCTAATGCCGGGCTTTAAAAGAGCAGCTGTGAATAAAAGAATCGCACAGGAGTGGACTGCAGGATCTCGAAAGCAATAGTGCGTTATAGTCTCAGTTAATTCTAAACAAAGCAATACGCGAACGAAAAGTGCTCATTCCTTTTATCGCCGTTATTCGTGGAACGAAAAGTATTTTTGCGCGTTTGCAATCTCCCTTGCAGCTTGCTCCATAGCTTGCAAAATGTGTATCTGCATAAGATTTTTGCGACGTGTCGATCGAAACTCCGTTGCTTGGCCAAATATTGGAAGTGTACCACATTGCAAAATTCTGTGGTCCTTACTTAAAATTAGTTTTGTATATAATGGTCTTTTATTAAAATTGGTGTCGTAGTTCAGACTTTTATCACTCCTAACCTTTTTAAAATCTTCTGTCTCTCTCACTCACTCGCTATTTACCTACTCGTGCGTTTATTACTCTCTCGAACGCTGAATAGTAAATGATTTAAATGAGTCTTTAGTGATTAATCATAGATATATATATATATTATCTTGTGTCTATGATTTATAAGAATCGTAATACTTGAAATTTTCGACAGGCTTCTTCGCACACAGATGTGAAAGAAAAATTTTTAGTAATGAAAATATTAATAATTGGAAACATCTTTTTTCTATTAATAACTTTTTATTACAACAATTCGTTATTTTAATTAGTTGCAAATTTATCACATTTGTAATGTATTTCGCAGGTTGCTCAATTAGAAGAAGAAAAGAGACACTTAGACTTTATGGCCAGTATGCGACAATACGATCCAGATCCATCAACAGAAGATGAAAATGCTAAGGATCGACCAAAGGACGATCCTGTGGTGGATCTCTTTCCTGATGATGATACGGATGATCGCAACAGCAAATGTAAGTCTTTCTATCTTTGAATTATTACAAAATTCGAAAATTTCTGAAATTGAAATTTTTATAAAAATGATTACTAAAATTTGTACAGTAATGCAAGTAATTTAATAATAAGTAGAAAATCATAAACGAATAATAATAATTGCGATTTAACTAAATTTTTTTAAATTATACAAATAAAAAATTTTAAATTATTACTTTTAAATGAATTAAATGCGAAATAGAACTACGTAAGTATTGCATAGCTACTTCTTCAACAAAAATTTCTATTGTATTTTTCAAGCTATATCTCCGACTCCGCCCTCGCAGTTTGCTCAGCAAGTGAATGCTGGCTATGAGATACCGGCACGCTTGCGCACATTGCACAACCTGGTGATCCAATATGCGAGTCAAGGCCGTTATGAAGTGGCGGTTCCTCTGTGTAAACAAGCTTTGGAAGATCTAGAAAAAACCTCTGGCCATGATCATCCTGACGTGGCAACCATGCTTAACATCCTCGCTCTCGTATATCGAGACCAGAACAAATATAAAGTGACCGACGCTCTAGCGATTCGAGAGAAAACGTTAGGTGAAAATCACCCCGCGGTAGCGGCAACGTTGAATAACCTTGCAGTGCTGTATGGAAAACGAGGAAAATATAAGGAGGCTGAACCCCTATGCAAACGAGCACTAGAGATCCGCGAAAAGGTACTAGGTCGCGATCATCCAGATGTAGCAAAGCAATTAAATAATCTGGCACTACTGTGCCAGAATCAAGGCAAATACGAAGAGGTGGAGCGTTATTATCAGCGAGCACTGGAGATCTATGAAGTTAAGCTAGGCCCGGATGACCCAAACGTCGCTAAAACGAAAAACAATCTAGCATCTTGTTACTTGAAGCAAGGAAAATACAAGGATGCTGAGGTGTTATACAAGCAGGTGCTTACTAGAGCGCATGAGAGAGAATTTGGCGCCATCGATGGTGACAACAAACCGATTTGGCAGGTACGAATCACAATCCATGTTGAATGCCTATGTCTATCTAAAAGCTGCGGACAAGAAATTTTTGAGCCGGTTTTTAAAAATCTTTCTAGAAGATAAAAATATGATAGCTCAAAGTTTCCAAAGAAGTGTGTATAAAAAAAGAGCATGATTTATGATTTATTCACTGTAATTTCCTTCGAAATAATTCCTTTTAGAATAATGCAATAATTGCTCAAATATTTGTAATATGGAGATTTGTTCCTAATAAGTGGTGCTATCTAAAGACAAATAAGATTTCTGGAACATTTTATTTACAAATGTATCTATTTAATTTTAACTTGAAGTAATTAAATAATATAATTGTGATATATACATATATAAAAATTTGAACTATATTTGTTGTAATTAAAAGTAATAAATAGTTACAGGATTTAAAATTAATGATCATTGAAAACTAAAGTATTTTTATATAGCAATCTTCTTATACATACTATCACTGAGAGATTATTAAAGATGTCCGGTCTTACGGAAGTTCGCGTGACTGTTAAAATGTGATTAAAAATAAGAAACTGGTATAAAGTACTAATTTTATGATTTATTAATTTTGTAGACACGTGTATACTTTTAAAACTCAAAATATTCGATTTTTATTTAAAACTAATTTAATTATTGTTTGAATTTGATTATTAATAATAGGAATGATAACTGTAGAGAAAAAAATTGTAATTTGGCGACAATACAAAATATTATAGCATCTCAAGTATGCATATTTATTTATGCAACATTTATATAAGAAAAAAATAAAAAATTTATTATTGTATTATCTAAATATTTGTGTTAATAATTGTAATTTTTTTATATTAATTGTCGATAATCTGTGTTATCGTTCTTCGATTATTCCCGGACTCTCCGGGCTCCAATGATTGTCACGAAAATTTGTCCTGGATCAACCATCTTTAATAGTATCTCGTCGGTGATGCTGTAATACAAGAAATAAAATGAAAGTAGGAGAAACTGTGTTTTAAACCTACATATATTTTTATTTTAGTTAAAATTTTTTAATTTTTATTTAAAATTTTATTTATAAATAGTGGATATTTATATAAAAACAATTTGTTACTTTTAGAAATAATATCTTACCGTTTTGAATCTACCATCGTTTTTAGCAATTCCATTCCATTCAATGGCACCGTCCAAATCAGACCTAAGTCTTCTCTGGAAATGAGGTTTTGAAACAATAATTTTTCCGGAATTAGGCCAGCATTTATAGTTTATATTTATATTTAAGGCTGTCTTAAATGCAAACTTAAAATGTCATCAACCAATCAGAGGACGGTATTCATAGTCAATTATATCTTATATTCAAGATCATCTTAAGTATAGTCTTAAGAAGTCACGAACTAATCAGAGGGCCGTATTAGCGTCTTAAGACATTACTTAAGAAAATTTTGAATTAAGAATGAACTATGAATACCGGCCTTAGATTGTTATGGGCTTTCTACAATAAATCATTACCTAAGCTTTAAGTCTTAAGCTATAAGAAATGAACTAATCGATTATTCTTCTCACATTCGACTGTGATTGGTTAATTTCTTATGATTTAAAATTTAAAACTTAGGTAATAGCTTATTGTAGAAAGCCCATTAGATTAATGTTCATCCTTCAAGAGGGATCGCACGCGCGCGATGCATGTATCAACTGATATATGGGACCTACAGTGTTTAACGCCGGCTCAATGGTGGTGATATACTCTCAGTGGTTTGTCATTACTTTCCGAGCGATCAAATCAAATTTTTGTGTTCTGGGTGGATTTGAACTGTGAATCTTCAGCATAGAAAGCAACCGCGCTATGTTCTACGCAATAATCGCCACGTTTTTAATAATTGCTTTTAATTTATAAATTGTTCATAGATGCAAGGGGTAATTGTACTTAGGAACAATGTATGTTATATCTAAGGGCATAAAATAAAACGTAAATTTGTATGAAAGAAATAACTTTAATTCTGTCGAAGTCTGCTATAATTAAACTATAACTATTAGTAATAAAGATACAACTCTTAGAGTAATTCAGACAAATACGCCTCAATGCTGAAAGTGCCTTACTTCTTATAGATATCTTGTAAACTAGAGGTAACAATCAAATATTTATTTGTCCTCTCCCCCAAAAGAATATTATCCTAATAAAAGTTAAGAAACAGGATATGTGTAAAAACGTTAATTATACATTCAACACTGACAATAATTATTTTAATAACAGATTTTTTGTAAGATTTTAAGACGAAAATTCTAATACGGAAATGTCGAGAAAATAATAGTTTTTAAATGGAAAAAGAGTTTAAAGATTACGAATGATGGCTAGAATTTCGCGAGTTAAAGGAAGGCAAGGTGATAAGTGATAAATTCCACGAACTTCAATAATAATGAATTATTGTACAAATATGAGTTTCATTAAGAAATTGTTTCCGTTTATTCGTAACGAATTTATTGTAAAAATAGATCAAAAGATTTAGGTAGTACGTGTTCATTAGAATATATTTTAAATAGGTTTTACAAACGTATTTAATGTTATAATCATTTAGAAGAAATGTATGTAAAACCAATGTGCTGCTTGAATTAACTATAATCTGGAGATGTCTTATAAACAATATTGGAACAAATTATTAAATAAAATCAAAGGAAATACAATTTATCATTTGTTAAAATAGTTAAATCCAATCCAATATATCTCCTCTTTTATAACAAATATGGGAAAAATCAAAAAAGCTCAACAAAAAATAATGTAAAATTTTTTTCAAAAAATTTTTTAAAAAACGTTACAAAATAAAACGTTATAAAATAAAATTGATTTTAATAATATTTCTGTCTTTCTTTATTTTAATCTCCTTTGTTATTATGTATAATTATATATAAAAAGTATGTATAAAAAATAAGAATAAAATAATATATAATTCTGATTTTATTACAGATTTTGATAACACGTATCAGTTATATATGAGCGTGTTTATCTAAATTATTCTACAGATCTTTTTTTATCTAAAATATCTTTAACCACACGCACACACACACACTACTTTCACATTCATTTTATTTAGATTCAATATTCTTTTCTTTATTTCAATGCATTGTAATAACCTACGCAAAAATAAAAGTATAGTACTCAGCATTGTCCTGAACATGTTAAAAGTGTCTTCAAGTACACGTCTCTAGATATAACACTTCAGTTTAACAGTCTACGCAAAAAAAGGTAAAAATAAAAATGTACCAGCATCACTTGAAGATGTTAAAATGTCCCCAGGTATACGTCCCTAGGAACAACAATTGAACAGAAATCAAAATGTAATTTTTTAAATATATTAAGTAATAGTTGAAATTGTATAGAATCATATGGTATATTTGAATGTCTTAAAAGATTGGGGAACAAAATTATTGACAGAAAAAAGTATAAAGAAAATTCCCAAATAAGCTTTTGTCGGTAGAAGCTAATCGGCCGCACAAAATAATTTAGATTAAAAACAAATAACAACTGAAGTAATACAACTGACTCGCCAACATTAAAAATCTCATTATTTTTAGAAACATAATCAGTCTAGACAACATATCCTTAGGTACCATAATCATTTTCCTATCAAAGATAACCCATATCTTTTATTACATTAATTAAACAAAGACACAAAACTTAAATATGCTTTCTCATTCAATATTATCAGGAAACACGGTAGTGTCTCGGTGCTAAGACAAAGCGTAACGTTATAAGACAGAAATATTTACTCATGATAATAACTTAGAATGTTATATTTAATTGAACACTATAAAACAAAGAAAAAATGTCAATTAGCATATAAATATATTTTAAAACAAAATTATTTTTAATAATAAAAAATATTCTAAAAATAACCAATAAAAGAAAATATAAGATTAATTTGTTGAAAAAAAAAATAAAGAGTAGCATTATAGATTTATATTTTATATTATCTGTTTACAAATCTGTACACACAAAAATCATATATAATTTTTAATTTTATTGAATTCTTGATGAAATTCTTTGAAATTTATTTAATCGTTTTCTGATCATTTTGTGATTTCTATTTTAGGTAGCTGAAGAAAGAGAGGAAAATAAGCACAGAAACAAGGAAAACACACCATATGGCGAATATGGCGGTTGGCACAAGGCCGCGAAGGTGGATTCTCCTACCGTTACTACTACTTTAAAGAATCTCGGTGCCCTTTATCGAAGACAGGGTAAATACGAAGCTGCTGAAACGCTCGAAGATTGCGCTTTGAGATCTCGAAGAGAGGTAGATAATATTTGTATTAACTCTTTTGGTAAAGAATACACAAGAATACAAGAATTATTATATACATATAATTGCAAATAATATAACTAATAATGTTTCTTACATTTCTCACACGCAGCACGTGCAACAAGTGAGTAAAAGTTTCTTAGCACTGTTCTAGAATCTTGCATGATTTTTGCACATTGCAAAGTTACACAAAATTTATTTTCTTTGTTTGTTTAAAATATTTTGTTTTAAATATTTTTTAATTCTAATTTGAATTAATATAATGTTAATTAATTAATTGCCACGTAATAATTAATATATATAATTAATATACATTGAACAAAATTCGTGATTATATGTTTCTTCAAGTCACACATGTATAATTCATGCACAAATAACATTTTAACAATTATACAATTATTACAATAATCAATTATAAAATAAAAAGACCTGTCATTAAGAGAGAAAAATTTCTTTATTAACTTTAGAATGAATTTATGGTTTGAGGCATTGGCAGTCAAAATGTTAAATAAAAGATTATTCTCTTTTTTTAGCTAGACTTTTAGAACAATTCATTTTTTCTTCTTTTCTCTTAATGTGAAAAGAAAAAGAAGAAATATCAATTGTGCAAAAAAACTCAACTAAAATAACCAGGCCTTTAAATGTTTAGATTAAGTATTAGAATCACATAATAAAATTACAAATTAAAACTAATAAAAAATATATATGATATAAATAATATATATATGAAATAAAAAAAATATGTATCTCATTAAAAATAATATATAAAAATTAAAGTTTGATTTAATTAGTTACAATAATATGCATTTGTGTAAAATAATTTGTTTTTATTTTTCTCCTTGCAGGCATTAGAACTGGTGAGTAAGGCACGGGTGGTACAGACGCTGTTAGGCGATGACAAAAGCTCTACCAGACGTGGCTCGCGATCCAGTCTGGCTAATAGCGAACATGAACAAAGTCATGAAGAGGTGAGTTTTCTTTCTGTCGTTTGTCATTTCGACGTATAAATTAGCCGTATGCACTTCCGCATGCTATGCAGTAGCTGACACAAACACTTATAGCCGTCTACTATCCTTTTCTTCTTTCTTTTTGTTCTTTTTTTCGTTTCGTCGTTCGTCACGTCCGGCACAACCTGATCTGACCGAATTCTGGCCGAATCTCATCGGCGACCGCACTCGCACGCATACGAACGCAATCGAACGCAGGTGAACAGTTCGCTGCCATTGGTGCAAAGGGCGCTACATGAAGGACAGTCAGCGGCGAGCAGTGGCCAGCACCAACATGATGCTAGTCCTAACAAACCCGGGTTTAAAAATAAGATCTTCCAAGCTTTTGGCATTCACTCGTCATCTACATAAGCCGGGTGGATTCCATTTTCCGTTTCTCGTTAGCTTCTATTCCGCTTTATTGATTCGTTAAATCCGTTCTCTTCAGCTGCGTATCCTATATTTTTTCTAATAAGTTTTATCTATTCTCTTTTACTCTATAATGCTTTCTTATAACATTTGTCTCATCTTAAATGCAGAATATATACATACATACATATGTACATATGTGTGTGTGTATATATATGTGTGTATATATATATATAACGTATTATAGCTAAAGAGAACAGATATATTTCACCGTGCTTTCATTCGTTTATCAATGATTTTTTAAGTACGATGTCACTGAATAGATAGATGTATTTCTAGGGTGAGCGAAAACTCTAAAATATATTCTTTTAGAATGGCTACGTTTACACCGTGCGTTTAGTCCGCGACCTATACAATAGGTGTCTTTATTTAATATACAGGCTAAACAAGGACATCTATTGTATAGGTCGCGACCTAAATGCACGGTGTAAACGTAGCCAATGATATAACCTGTAAACAATTCATATCTTAATCGATTAATTTCTATCTTTTGATATTATGAAATAGAAAACTAGTAAATTTAATATTATAAAATGGAAGCCTGATAAAATTAAAATTAATTGGTCAAATTTGAAATTATCAAAATATTAAAATTAAGAATATTAAAATGAAGTATTAACAAGATTTATTTTAGTCTCTGTACTGACAATTATTTTATAATCTTTTAAATTAAATGAAATGGCTCATCGTTACTTTTTTATACAGATTATAAAAGAACGTATTTAGAAGAATATTGAAATTAGATAGAGTGGAAAGTGTGTGAGTTTATATGTGACGCAAAAACATAATACCGCGTAATGCATATCTAACAATAAGTATACGTCCTGAATGTGCTCCGAATAGAACATCTAACTATCATGTGATAAAGCGTGACATAAATATACCCTTCCAAGTGAATCACTTAGTGTAAAATTATATGTTGGATTCTCTTTAAATCATTAGAACATTGATGATTAAATGATTAGAAAAAAAAAACATTGATAATTTATTTTAAGAATTTTATTCATTCAAGATAGTTTATAATTATATTTGACACACATTTTATTGTACACTTTGCAAGACTATTTATCATTATTTCCTAAGATGAGCAGAAAATTTTTCAGCAATTTTTTTTAGAAGACAAGATATTAGTGTTTGATATGGCATTTCTCTTTATTCATTACAGACGCAAATTAAAAACTTTTTTACGTGTTTTAGTATTATATGTAATTACAGGGTATAATTATCGTTTTAATTGGAACACCATATATATATTGCATTTACGTGAGACTAATTTTCCAGATAAAAGTTTACTCACTTATATCGTAAATGTAAGAAATAACTGGACCAGCTAATCTGTCATTTTATGTAAAATATAGATGACAAATATAACAAACGATAAAAAATTATTAAATGGCATAATATTGTAAATATTCGAAAATGTTATGTTAATTGAAAATGTAAAGTTTTTAAACTATGAAAAACATCAAGAAATTATACTCGTATTATTAAAATAGGAATATTTTTTCGCTAAATATACGAATATTTTTTATATAAGGATATTTTACATCAAATTGGATCGAAAAATGCGAATTTTTTGTTCTTTTTCTGAAATTTTTTATTCTTACACATAATATTAAGATATGTATTTTTGTCAAATTTTAACGCTATAATCATAATACTTTTTGAGATATAGATATTTTTTAATTTATGCAAATTTTGAAGTCATGATACCTTTAGAATGCTCTAACTTCAAAACAAATGTTTAAATAACGTATAACTGTTGAAAAATATATATTTAAAGACTTTAAAAAATTTTTTAAAGGGGTTAAAAATTATACCGTTGAAAGTTAAAAACCGTTCTAAAGGTATTCGGAATTTGTGTAAAACTTTTACTCCTCGAAAAACATTATATTTATAGCATTGGAACTTGATAAAAATGCATATTTTAATATTATGTATAAGAATAAAAAATTTCAAAAAATATTTTTTTCTATTTAATTTGACGTAAAATCATCTATAATGGTATCTTAAAAATATTAGAATGTATTAAATCTAATTTGAAATATGTAAGGCATCATTAATGCCTTCCAATTTTGAAGCATTTTTACGCATTTCATTAGATATCTATTTACTATGATTATTCATGAAACATTTGAAATTATATCTTTATTGATGAATCTAGTATATGTTAAAATTTGTATCTAAAATTGTGTCAATAAGGTAGTATAATCAGTATTGATTTGATATGTATTTTTCTCTATACTTCTCTTTTTTTACGTAAACATTTTATAGTAGGGGTTCAGTCATTTTCTTATATTCATGATTTACACAGAGATTGCATCAATCAAATATATTCGACGCATTAATTTTAACTGAAATGAATGCAATTAGGAGGATTAGTATATAAAAACAAAAATATATATATTGATAAGAACTCAAAAATATAAAGAAATCTAAACATAATGAGAAATCTTATATATTTTATTTATCACACGTTATGTAGTCTGATCTAAAAACTTTTCTTCTTTTGTCCTAAAATGTGTGTCTTCTTTTTTTTTCTTTTTTGCCACAAAATCGATGAAATTACGCACATGTTATTTAAAAGTAATATTGTGCAAATTGCAACACACTTTGCTTAACTATATAATGCACTATAGATTCGCAAAGCAAATCGTAAAAAAAAAAGAAACTAAGTATATTAATGATTAAAAGGCCTCGACTAAAATAAGAAAAAAACTATGTAAAAAAATGTTATAAATCTAATAATTATGAAAATATATTCCGAATTTTATCCAATTTATTATTACAATTACATGCATATGTTATGTATTTATTACAGTATAAATTGAAATATAAATCGGAATATAATTCTTTAAAATTTATCGGAAAATATATTCTAACGTTTTAAATGAAGTCAAAATTGGAATACATCGAGAAATATTGACGATATATTCTGATTTTTCTTTATTTTATTTTATAAAGAATTTCTCCAAGTTTGCAATGCAGTGACACATATATCGCATGTATCGATAAAAATATTTACGATAGCACGAAATATACTTTATTAGGTATTTTACGTTATAAACAAATCGATCTTGAAAATTTATCGCCATATAACTTTTAGCGATATCTTAATCGCAATTTATGCGCGGTTCGAAACCAGATTGCAGCAATTTCGATTCTTAAATATATAATATCTTGAAAATATGAGATAAGATATCTTGAAGATATATTTTATTTACAGCGATAGATATATTTACATAATTGTATAGAGAAAAATAGATTTCAAATATAATTCGGACATAGATATATATCGAATGTATTTGAAAACTGTATTAGAAAAAATGTCAAGTTACAATTAAAAAAATATATTCGAAATATATTTGAATTATGCTTGAAATGTATTTAACGGTGGCACAAAATGACGTAGGCGATATTTCTCGTAAGATCTCAACGGTGCATGTAAAAAAAAGAAAAAATTAATGTTTGTTGATTTCTGCGTTGCGAGATACCAAGAGTATATGATTTTGATTGAAAAAGAGATATGAGTTTTATATGTATATTCTACGAAGCGACATATAGCACTTAATATGCACACATTCTTTTTTAGATAGGATAATTTGTTACGTAAATTAATGATTATTTTATTCTCGATTAAATTAATAGGTTAAAAATGATGAAGATAGTGCCTTGAGATTTTAATAAATAATAAATAAATTATTTTCAAACACGGAGACTTTAATTTATTCTTAATTTCTTCTCCATTGATATTTCGAAGTCATTACGACTTTTTTTATTATAGTTAGTCTATGAAGAAATGATAATAATAATGTATATAAAATATTATAAAACATTATTTTTTATAATACTTTTAATAATTATGTGTTAAATCAAGATTTTAATTAAGATTAAATTGCTTCTGAAAAAAACGTATGCATAATCGTACTTCATTTTCTTTGCATATAACTACATGATGTATAAATGTATAATATGCAACATACAGTTTCACTTTTCCATAGCTATATGTTCTTTTACAATATTAATCGATTATTGTTTTTCTATTATATACAAATATAAGATAAGATCGAAGAATGTGATTTAAATTTTACAAGTTATTTTATATCTTACATACATCAAATGTTATATAATACATGGTAAAATATGAAATATTTTGTAAACTATTTACTTTTTGATAACTTTATCTAAATAATTTTACATAAAGAATATTAAGAAGAATCGATTATGAAAATCGAGTAAGGAAAAAATATGTATTCCAATATAGAAAAAAGATTTATGTTGAAATCTATGTTACATTCTTTGATATATTCTATCTATAATAAAACTATATTGACCACAAGATATTTCGAAAATACAAACAATTTTTATCTGAATAATCTTTATAAAGTTTATTTTAGGATTTCGTTAATTTAATAACTTTTAATAATCAACAATAACGCACGCGCGCTCCCATACACACGCACACACACACACAAAGGTTTTGCAAGTGTTGTATAGACTCTATCTATTTTAGATCTTCATTTATTTTGGAACACCTATTTCGTAATCTAATTTTATTTTATAATTTTATTTTGAGTTATTTTATTAGTACACGTTTGCCATATCAGTACATATAAAATATATTTATGATAGAATATTTTTTTATTTCCATGTATAGTGTGAGAAATTGAACGAAGACAGAACGCGTAATATTTTATTTATTTAATTAAAGATTCAATTTCACATGTTCCATTAAAATGCGATTAAGAATTGAAGGCAAGTTCTAACTAAGTCCTAATTGTGTCCAAATTTTGTTCGAAAATGAATTTTTCTTGGTCTTGAAATAAATAGGTACGCTTTTAGTGCAAATAGGGCACTTGTCTCAAGCTTCTAGGCCTGAAATAGACGTTAAAAATGAGCAATGAGAAAGGGCACAAGTTCAAAATTCGTAATATTTAAGCTTTGAAAAAAATGAAATGCTAAACCCTGCTAAAATGTAGAAGCTTCTTTGATGAGATTTTTAAATGGTTAAACCTAAGCAACCAAAAGAGATATTTTAATAGCCAGTACTTTAACACCAATATTTCCAAAATTATTTTTTGTAAATTATCTCATATTGTTTAACATAAAGAGAAATAATTGTTTGATATAATTTAAGGTAAATAAGGTATGTAGTATAGTGTACCATAAAATTTATATTTTTGAGTGCAGAAAGGGTATGAATCCAAATTAGAAACCTAAATTTTTTATTCAACAGATAAAATTCAGGAATGTTTCAAAAATATTAAATGTCATTTAAATTCTCAAAAATAATTTTCTTAGTTTTTCACTGAAATTAAAATTAAACAGTTTTTTTAATACTGAAAAATTTGATAAATGTGACTCGTCCTTTTTCTGCACTCATCGATTCAATTTGTCTCAATTTTAGAATAGATGGATTCTACAATACGTTTGATCTAGAACGCCAAAAAGGCATGTAAGAAAAAAATAGTAATTTATGGAACGTATAATGTAACATGTTCGTAATGAATGGAATATTATGCATTTTTCCGCACGTAAAACTTGTGCTTAACTATGAGGTTCGTTCTTTGGATCAACTTGCGTTGTCGTTTTTGTTTCGCTTTTGGTTCTTGAGTATAAATTGAGCGGAATCCGAGGTACAAAAGACGAGGATGACGATGACATAGCGGGAAATATATCAATGCCGATGTCGAAAGGATAAATAATAAGGTGCGTATTTTTTTCGTAGAAAAAAGATTTTCGTTAAGCACATAATTTAACTGGTTGCGATTATTATTGTTTTTGTCACTTTATTTCTTTCTAGATGTTTTATTTCTTTTAAATGAACAAATATCTGGTGATAATGTTGAAGGAGCAAGTCGATAAAGATAATACATTTTTTAAAAATATACTTTTTATATAAAGATTAAAAATATATAACCAAATTGTATAATATCGGTTTATTTTTATAAATAATCAAATTATTTTATATTGAAAATAAAGGTTGTTATTGGCATATAATATCTGTATTTAATTTTTTAAAGACATCTTCTCGTTCACTTGCTTCTTCAATTCTTGTTTTCTAATAATTAATGAATGCTTTTGATGTGAAATTCATAAATATAGTGATAATAAATATAATAATTGTATCGATAATAAGCTTTAAAACAGAATGTGAATACTAATATTAGTAACTACATAATCAAGGAAGTTGCAGAAGAAGTAAATGTAAACTTGTGTGGAATTGCATGCCGAAACAATAATTGTGTATTATAATTGTTTCCACGATTTTTGTGTGCTTGCTATGATAACGAAATATAAATGCTCATTAGTTAATGTAATACTATGCGCTTCTTTCAGAGCACTGTTATTAATATTTTATAAAATAAAATTATAAATATCTTGTGTCTTTAATCACAATAGAATTGACGTCATTATTAATTCACAAATTGTAGAACTATTATAGAACAATATCATATAAAATACAGAAAACCATATGAAGTGCAAGAATATTCCTTGTAGGAATTGGGAAAGTTTCCATTAACATAATTATCATTAATTTACATCATAGTATTATAATATTTTTTTTACGTATTGGTATAATTAATATTATATTTAAAGTAAAAAATGTATATTAACGATTTAGTGATTACAACATAACTTATTATTTCTTTATGAATTTATTCATTATAGATATTCAAAACTTTAAATTACTATATTTCTATATTACTTAATTTTTACAGCTATATTATCCATAGAAATAATCGAAGACATAAGATTTTGTAATTTTTGAAACAGTTAGACTTAAAACTTGTTGCCATTCTGTTGCAGGACTGGAAGTATGCCTTTCGTGCGAAGTAAAGGAAACGTTCATTGACGAGAACTACTTTACGAGAACTACATTAGACTATAATCTCAATGTGCGAATGATAAGAGACGAAAGGAGACTCTGCATTGACGGATGATGATGTTCGGATCGTTCACAGCACACATTCCAGTTACTTCTCTCTAATGAAAAACTCACTGTTATGCGAGCTAACTTGTTCTGGTTCTAGATTTTTATTCATAGTTTCATGTGGACAATTTTACTATTTGGCATGAATTATTATTTACTACGTTCTCATTGTTTCGAATGATTATATGAATAAATCTGAAAGATATCGAGTAATCGAATCAAAATTCAAAAGGATCATAATTATTTAAATCGCGTACATTTTTTTGTGCTTTTTTCGATAACGCGCTTTGTCCTTCTAGCTAATCCTGATTAATTTCAGCTTCATAATTGCGCGTGTGATGATATAAATATTTCCACACATACGTTCTTTCTTCTATAGTGATATTTTTACTTTTTCAGTTTTACTTGAATGTGTAACTGTTATAGATTTACGTATATATTTAATTTATATTTGATGATTATCTTAAGTAAGAAACAGTTTTTTTGCGGCATTATAGAAATTGTCTTAAAATTAGTTTTTAAATCTATATTTAAAAAATAGATATTGCAAATTGTGTTTTAGCAATATTTTATTTTTTGTTTTACATGAATTTGAGAAGATTTAAGCGCAAGTTTTTTAATGTTTTTTTTTATCATGCAATAGAAGGATCACCGTTCACACATACAATCAATGACTTATGCAGCGATGTTATAGCAGAAATTGTGAGTGTAAAACTTGTCTATTTGTTTATCAAACAGATAATAAAAGCATTCGATTATTCTAAGTTAGTTTTCATAATTGCGCTGGATTATATGTCAACTAAAAAATTGCTAAAATGTGAGCCACGTTTCTTACAATTTGTACAGAATTTTAACGTGAAAAATGCATTGTTTGCCGTAGGGTACATAGTAGAATCCGGATGATCTAACATTGTATTGTTCAACTTCTGATATCTCTCTCTCTCTCTCTCTCTCTCCGCTATCGAACTCGCTTGGAAAAATTGAACGAAATGCTCCCGTCACGGGAATTCAATAGCGATATGATCAGATAACTAGGGAATTGAATAATATGTTGTCGAATAATCCGGATTCTACGTACGATTCTAAACTCGAAGGTTGCAATACATTTATTTTCGACGAATTTCGATAAGCGTAAAATCTTTGAAATCGTTTTCGTGACTTTGGCACGTTCTCCATATTGCATTAAGATAAATAATAAAATAATTATGTACCTTTTCCATTCATAAGTGTATATACAGTTGGCATCAAAAAGATTGACGCTTCGAATCACTTTTTCATTTAATATCTAACAGGAGAATTAAATTTTTTTTTTATAAAAAAATACTATGGAGCATAAAATAAATAGAGCACAAAAATTTTCATGTTGAGCCTTTTTTAGTAATAAATTCTTAGTTGTTATTTTCGTTTTGCAACTTGTGTTACTATATGCTGGGAACTCGAGTCAACTCCAATTAATTGTACTTCAAGTTGAGAGATATACACGAGAGATATAGACGAGAAGCAAAAATCTAAATCAAGTTCAAAATATTAAATTATATGCAATATAATTTTGTCACTTGAAAAATGTATGTAAATATATTTTTTTGAGTGTACTTATATAAAAATGTTTTTAAAATATGTAATTAAAATTATAATGATTTATTTTTATAATAGAATTATATTATTATTATATGTATAAAGATAAATTAATTTTATTGTTATATAACTCAAAATATTGATATTTTGTGCATTAACTTTTACGAGAAATATTTTCTATTCATTGTATTAGAATTAATGGCTTGAGTTGATTCAATCAATCTTTGTTAAAAGTTGTATGAATTAAAACCGTTTTTATTTTTTGAATAAATTTTGGAAGTCATATAAAAAAGAAATTTTAATTTTGTCTTTTTAATGTCAACTGCACATTTACGAGTTCCAAATACTAAAATAAAACATATTTTATTAACTATAATAAAACAAATTATATCATTTTTCGAGCTTTCCTTACTGTGCTTCATCATTTTTTAATATCCAGATTCGAAATGAAAACAATTATTTTTTCCTATAATCTTTTAAAAATTTCAAACATAAAGTTATATTGTTATCGCATTATATAATTTTATTTTAAATTAACGTTTTCGCGTGAAAATGTTGAAACATAGAAGAAGTTAACAGTAAGCAAATCGACAAATCGCAATTGAGCATTCTTCTAGACTTTCCATTTGATCTCCTATTCTCGAAAATGTTTGACTACGCAATTATACATCACATTGTAAAATAATAGAAACTATATGCAATAGAAACTGCGTAATATTTTATTCGGTTTCATTATCGAATGTACATGTTTAATTCACGATACGGAAAAAAAATATTGCATATTTATCTATTCGTAAATGAAATCTTTTTTAAAAACTTTATTTATTTATTTTCATCACTTACAATGTTTTACATTATCATTTTTGCTTTACTTTTGTTACATGCCTTTAATATTGTTCCAATTTATGTGCCTGAGAACTTATAAAGGCCTAAATTCTCTTTCAATTCGATTAAAATTAATAAATGTTGATCCTCAGCAGACATTACAAAGCTTCTCATTCCAAAAGATTTTCTCGATTCCGTCTAGGAAAGAGTTTCTTAAACCCCTTAATAGTAACAATAGATTATAATTAGCTATGTAAAATAATTGTTAGTTTCTGAATAAATCTCTAAATCCTTTATTTCGAACAGTTTTATTTGTAATAAAGTTATATATATAGATTTCGTGATATCAAAGGCTTAAATTTCTGTGTCTGCTGAGGATTGAATGCTCCTTTTTGCGATTGAGATTATTTTAAATAAAACTATTTTAATGAAATTATAAGTTAAAGAAAGATCTGTAAGTCAAATGGATATAATGTGTTCAATATTTCGAAATTATCTAATGTGTTCTCTTTCTGTTGTGTACATTATTTCAAAATTTAAATACATGTAATAAAAACTTTTATAACATACAATGACAAGGATGGTATAATGGCAAGAAAAATTGATATTAACAATCTTATTATTCACATAGATAGTTACTAATGCATATGCGATATGAAATTTGACGCTATGTAATGTATTGTTTTATGTCTATCTATTTTTTTTATCATTCCAAGTTTAAAAATACTGAGCTAATGTCATCGAGCAGCGAATGCTTTACAAGATATTTCGTCTTACATCCGAATGTATCAGGATAAAATACAAGCTATTTCATAAGTATTCATATGTCGATATTTTTTTAGTAATTTTGTGTGCAGAGCGATAACGAGCATCGGTTAAAAAACCTAATATAGTTAGATTGAACAAAATATCGGTAACTTTAAAATTTCAAGAATACTTTCATCAAATAGGAAAACCGTTATATCGCTCGAAACAAAGTAATTTTTTCTTTTTCTTTTTATTTGAAACTTTTACTATTAAATGTATTGTTTTCGAAATATTTAAAGTGGTCATTTAAAATTTGTTTACATTCATGTAATAAACATTATTATTATTTATATATAGATATCATGTGTTTAGAAAATGTAATTATGTAGATACGTCATGTTTTTCTAATTTATAAATCTTATATTAAATATATTCAATATTAAAAAAACAAAACCTTAAAATAAATGAAGATTGATTTAGCTTATTTATTTATAAGAAAAAATAAATGAGTACGTCAAATTTCTAAAGTATAACTTGCTCTACATTAAATTAAGGATAAAAATTTAATAATTCGTTGATAATACTTTCGTTGCATTTCTATAAAATTATCATTTTGGGTTTGATCGAAACCAGAATTAACGTCATTCTATTTATTCTAATATTTTTTTTTGTTTTTCTACATAAGATCAGCAAAAAGTTCTTTTTTTTCTCATATAGAAAATCGCTGTCTAGAATTAATATAATAATATCATTACATCTACGAAGAAGTTTTCTAAAAAAAATAATGATGCTTTTGTATTCGGTGTGAATGACCCAAGAAATAATCTAAATAATAATATTCGAGAAGTATATTATCGGATCACGAATGTGAATGGATACATATACTTACTTGGATAGATACTGTTTTATTGTACACGCGGTTGCATAATATTAGTGGAGCTTTCGAAGCGTAATGTAGCTCTCAGGTGCAAACATATTGTTATTTAATGACATGCATATATGTATAAGCTTTGATTTATAATAAATATTTCCACTTATACATTCAGTTTCCTTCAATGTCCAAACAAAATCAACAAGAGTGCCGACATTTACATATAATATTAGAATTTTAGGATTAGAATAAAAGCAATGAATCACACACACAGTTCTTGATTAAAAATTCTCAAGTCATAATATTAGATTAAAGGGTCTATTCTGAAACTTTTAACTATTGCAATCAGATATAATCGTTATAATATGTTTAATAACACATTACACACACACACACACACACACACACACACACACACGCACGCACGCACGCACGCACGCACGCACGCACGCAAGGTCGAGCAATATTAGGACTGTGTTCGGAAACATCACCCGAGTGTCCTCGTGTATCGTTTTATTCTTGTTGTTCATCCAATGTTAAACAAGATAAGATGATACACGGGGACACTCGGATGATATTTCCAAACACAATCTAGATGTTGTCCTATTGTCGAACTTACAGGTATCGTTGAAATCAACTACTTATTTATTGCGATGTCAAATAGTTATTGCTTTAGTTTTCGGTAAATTTCCGAAGTGTGAAGACAGCAATTGAACATTCTTGATATTAGTAACTCTACGCATTTATACGTTCACAGCTGCTAATTATTATGAAGAAATTTGCATTCTAATCAACGCAAAATTTCAATATGAAGGTGAGGATATTAAGAATATAATATGTATCGTTCTTACAAAATATGTCAAGGCATATAAAATGGAACCTGAAAGACATTAAACATTTTTAACAGATATATTGCAATACGTAAAGAAAATACCATTCTATACACATCCAACGTTATATTTAAAATATCTGATTTCAAGCCAACAACAAAGTAAAATTATTTTAAATTAATCTTTATGTCGATTACAATATCTTAAATCTGCAAATTTCTACATTATTTTATTTTAAAAAATCAATAAAAAATAGTTTTAATATAAAATAAACTTAAGTGACAGAAAAATTATATATAATATGTTTATTACTCGGATCAAATGTTAGAAGAAAAGGAATTAAAATAAATTGAATAATTCGTAATAATCGTTTGAATTAATAATATAAATTAATTAATAGACCGAACAGAATAAAATCTAATTCTGGCACAAACAGCCAAGATCTTAATTATGTGTTAAAAGACTATAGACTTATAAAAAATAATCTCATCACTGTTTTCTTT